GTCCAATGAGTGCACTCCCCAACCTGTGAGGGAGGCATCTGTTACCAGAGTCATAGCCGTGGCGAGTGGGTCCGGGAAGCCCCCTGTCTCCTTCACTTGGTCCGAGAGAGTTACTCGCCTCTCCAGTTCCCGTAAGTGCACTCGGTGTTGTAGTAAAGTGCGCTGTACCGGGCGGCTGCGCAATGCAGCCTAGGAAATTACCCTGCGAACCAAGGTCATCATGCAGATGATCCGCATTAGTTCTCAGGACACTGAGGTAATGCCAAGCAACCCGCCCGTGATGGATGTAACAAGCTCGCCTGTCGAACTCCATGCCCAAAAACACCAACTGTTGTGTTGGTTGGGGATGGGACTTTGCTTGATTTACTAGAAAGCCCAGTAGGTGTAGTAAATCCTGTGTTAGCCTTACTTGTTTGGGTTGTGTAGTAACAAGTCGTCTAGGCATGGGTTGATGTGTACCGACCCCCGGTGCAGCAGCAGAACTACCTGTTTCATCACTCCGGTGCACACGTAGAGAGCTGTGAATAACCCAAAGGGGAGCACTCGATATTTGAATACCTAGCCCAGATGGGCGAATTGAAGGAGTTGGTGACTACTCACTGAGTGCATAGGTATGTGCAGATGGGCATTGCTTAGGTCTGATGAGGCTAGCCAGTCAAAATGGTGGATGGAGAGTAGAACGCTGTTTAGAGTGACCATATGGAACCGATCAAGCAACACATACTAATTTAGTCTGCTTAAGTCCAGAACTGGACGCCAGCCACCTGTAGCCTTTGGTACTACGAACACATTTGAGTAGAAGCCTGGATTTAATGCCAGTTGTTTTACCTTGTGTATGGCGCCCTTTGTTAGCAGACTATTTACTTCCTGTTGGATTTCTTCCGCATTGCGGGGGGCCCATGGCAGTGCTGACAGGGGTGGTGGAGATCTCAGTGGTATCTTGTAACCATGTGTCACTACCTGGAGAGTCAAGGGATCAGTCATCCACTGCCTAGAAGCCGAAATGCACAAGCACAATATTATTCTGTGTGCAACAGGGATATGTGGCCATGGGTTTGGCGGTTGTAGGTTGGGTGTGCTCTTTTGCGGAGGTGAGTCGCCACGAGGCTTGAAGTAGACCTGGCCTCTCATCGAACGTATGCCCATCCCTCCTCCGCAGAGGTAAGCGTCAAAGGTACTTCCTCCGCTACCGGGGTGAACGACTGCCAAAGGAGAAGCCACGACCTCTTCTTTAGGGGCGCGTCGCACCTCTTCCCTTCCGCGGCAGGACGTGGTCGCTTACCTCCTGGCTGACTCAGGCCAGCAAGCGTCGCTTTAGGGTGTTGTGTTTTCTGCGCTTAGGGTGCCCTCCCTTTGTCTTTGGCAGCAGCCAACTATCTAGCAGACTCAACCTGAACCATCTGGTTGGTGGCTTTCCGAAACTCCAAGACTCCACGTGCCATCTCCCCATCAAAAAGGGTGGAAGACGTCCAGTTTGCGTAACTGAAGTAGTGACGTACCCCCTGATTCAGCTCGTCGGCGAAAACACACGCATTTAAGACAGCGTCCTGTTGTACAAAAGTAGCCCCGGCTAAGAGAGCCAGGTGACACTGGAGGATGTCGCACGTAGCTGTGCGGTGTCCTAGTGATAGTTGTGTTGCCTGGTCTAGGAGGCTGATGCACTCTGCCTTCGGAGTCTCAGAGTCCTGGGCATGCACAATGATATGCTTCAGCGAGCAGACCACATACTCCAAAAGTTTAATGGGTCGTAACTCTGCCCTCAGAGTGTGATGGATCGTTTTGACTTGAGCTGACAAGAATGTCAATGGAACGTGACCATCCCCCTTTACTTGTCCCGCCGAACAAAAATTTGTGGTACCCGGGTCAGGGGGAAAGGAACCTTGGGATCCGGTCAGGGGCGTTTGGCCTCATCCCAGACTTTGCCGGAATCTGAGTCAGGAACAACTCTGATCAGGTAGCGTTTGGTCCAGCAGAAGAAGTTTTGCATAAGATTACCCCAGCCGGGGGTCTTAGGTATCACCTCCTCTATAGACGACCAATGTCTGCACATCAACACCGTCTACGGGCACTCTGCCACACTTAGCACTTGGCCGGACCAAAGAAGGCGTGCAGGCTGGGATGCAATCCCATGAGCGTCAAAGCAACAGTAAGCGACTGCTTTAGGATCGAGGGTGGGGGTATGTACATCTTGTCATTAGGTTTGATGATACTCTGCATCATCCCTATGGCGTGGCTCACCGAGTCATTACGAATGGATGACTCCGAGGGGCCGCTCGATGATGTACCCACTGTGTCTGACGCAGCCGTACTGCTTCCCCTCATCTTAAAAATGTAACCTAGAGCGTGTTCGACTGAGCGTCTGATAACTGGGTCAGCCCCTCTCAGGGAATGCCTGTGGGTCGACAAGAAGGATGTTGATATCCACAGTGGAGGCCGGACTCAAGGGTAAATTCCTTATACCGGTTCCACGTGGCGAACCCTGGCTGACTGTTCACAAGGGGGAGGCGCAATGTGCGTCATGTCCTGATTGCTCTGCCTCGAGATCGGAGGCTTGGCTGACAGCATCCCCGTCAGCTTTCTGTGACTGAGGTCCCGGCAGAGACCTGGTGCCACTAGCCTGTGCCTAGCCTTCATCCCAATTAACGGAAAGGTCGGGGCTGGGAAGGGGGGTTCTCGGGAAGAGGCATCTTTTGAATGCGATTAACATTTCTTAGAGTGCTTCTTCCTGCTTGCCGCCCGAGTGCTGCAGTGGAGACAGCTCACTCCGTCTGCATTTGGTCTACTCGGCCTGCAAGGGACAGAATTTGTCCAGACAGTCCTTCGACCAAAGCCCTAAGCTCAGAGGCAAAATAAAAAATATACACACACAAAGGGGCGACCCGGGGTTAAAAAAAAGAATAACTTGTCCTACCAGCCACGGCATCGGCTGCTGCGTCAGCGGTCCAAGCTAAAACTCGAACAGGAAAAAGCAGGCTTCTAGGCTGGACCACACATGTACAGTTTCATCCCCGTCAGTGCAGAGAAAGAAACAGAGTGATCTAGAAGGCAATACAGCTGCGCCTCATTACCTTGTCACGTGGTTCGTGACGTGAGGGTAAATCTTTAGGTCATGGGGCTTTCTCTGACCTAGATTTATTTCTCCGTCATTGGCTGACTCGCAGATTAATGCCTACAGTTCAAAATAGTCATTTTGACTGGCAGGAGTCTAGAGTGGGTAATTGAACGTAGTGAATTTCTGGTTTTGGTCAAGAATTAAAATAATTCATTTGCGCAAAATGGAAAATCAGATACATTGACTCACATTGACTCCTATAATGGAGAATTTACACATTGAACGCAACACATATGTAACTCCACACCTAGTTGCTCATCTAGAGTAGCCTCTATACAACAATTTAATGATACAATATGGAAGAAAACATAATTTTTAATATCATACTGAAGACAAATCACCACAGTATATCAGTTATTCATAAAAAAATAAATATGAAACAAAGCTTCAACAGAGATAAGCAAAACAAATATAGTTATAAAAATATCAAAGATAACAGATGGTAATGGATGCATATGAAATAGAAATATGGAATATTTAAAATAAATAATAAAAAATACAATCAGCCTTTCAAACAAGAAGCCTGTCAACCTATCTCTGGCTCTTTGTGACACACAATGTAAAAGCAATCTTATCCACAGTCTTGAGTATATTAATACACAAAGTAGTTCTGCTGTCTTTATCAATTGTCTGTTTATAGACTATCGCCATGGTGATTGTAATTATTACATACTTGATACAGGTCATACAACGTATACCAAGTATTAAAGCAATCAAGATGGTACTTTTCAAAGAAACTTGATAACATTAATTTTATTTATTTTTACCAAAAATGACGAAGATACTGGCCAGCAATGAAAAGGATACAGTCACGAAATAAACAAATCTGATAGAGATCCACCCAAGGTACCTAAATACCAGGAAGCAAAGCAATCAGATTTGAACTTTTTCAAAAAGAAGTTGACAATATTGTTACCGTTACTTACCAAAAAGAAGAAATCACTATAAGGTTGAAATATAATTTTGAAAAGAACAAATATAATAGTGTTACATCCAATATACCTACATATCGAAAATCCAAAGCCTGTACTTTTCAAGAAGTAGCTGTTTTAGTAAAATTTTACTGACAGGGTACACAAGCAGATGTGGTACAAACAAGAACAGTGAACAATCGACTATATGAATAGCTCTGCAGTGTCTTCCTCAAAATATTGTATTTTGTGGTTTGTTGTACGAATCATTCCAAGGCACTTACATGTAAGATTTAATTTAAATCTGAAGTATTTATTGAGATATCAGAAAATTTGTAATTTATACATATTTTATCATTATTATGCGAGGATATCGTCCCAGGTCTGAGGATTAGCCAAAAGCCCCTACTGAGATCTCAAGAGTGGTAATTGAAACATCTAATTTATGTAAATTAGGTAAACAAATATGCACAATTTCAACTTTGAAATAAGGACCTCTGTGGATTACACCAGAGCAGGTATATGTACAAAAGTTCATTATTCATGAAAAATGGCTAATCATTAAGCTTATTAGCTAATATGGACAGATTTAAACCTTAAACTAATCAGGTCCAAGGATTACCCAAGATCATATATGAACCATATTACATTGTCACACTGAGTATTTTTTGAAATATCATTAAAACAGCTGAAAATGGCTGATTATCATGCAAACTACTACTACCAAGGGGTCAAGATTCTTGGTTTTAAGGCATTTTTGTCCATGAAATTGGGCGCCCTCGTAATTTCAAAATTCAAGGTTCAAGTATCAGTTTATCTTAAACACAGGATGACGGCATGAGTTCATGTATTTGTGTCATGTTTTGTCAGCCATATTCAGAGACATTTTATCTCTACATATATATATATCAGATATACATGTAGGTTTGCATGGTTGCACAGATGACTTTCAAATATTGCAATATATACCATGGTTTCCGGGTTTGAACTCACATCAGATAGATTTATGATAACATTTATCAGTTTCAGCGCTCCCTCAGTAGAATTGGTTGCAACAAAAACAACTTGTCACTGATGTTAATCTGACATAATGACATACTCGCCAGCAAGTTCATGTAATGGCAGAACGTTCATGTGAGCAATAATGGCAAGGCATCATTTCAGTTCCACACACCATGCCATGCATATCTTGGTAGTACATGAATAAAATACCACATCAACTAAACACTCCTTTGTCCACGAATGGGTGTGCCAAAAAGTCACCTAATTTATGGCCGTCTTTATCATAGTGCAGCATGTGGAAACATTTATCACAGAAAAAACATGGATCTTCAGGAGCAAGTCTGTCTTCTGTGGTCATCCACCTACAAGGCAATGTACAAAATTGGGATAGGTAGTCAAATGAATTGAGTTGAAATCCATCAATTATCACCTTTTCTTGCCTTTCATATCTGGATACTTACTTTGAAGTGAACAATTGGCAAACCCGGCATAGCAGTCGTTTTTGGTGTAACTTTCTAATCACCAAAGGATACTGGGAAATGTCATGACAATCGTCAGGATGGAGCAATCTGTGTGTGAGAAATATCCTGTTGAGTCAAAGCATGTATAAGACAGAATGTGATATGTAAGGAAAAAAACCTATCAACAAAGAAGCTGCTCTCTGATTGGCCTGAATGTTGGGGGGGGGATGGGTGGCCAATCAGGCACTTGTAAGTAGCTTTGTCTTGAGTCGAAATAAACAAACTACAGCAGCATAATCAAATGACCAAATGTTTTCCACATTACTAAACTACATTCATCTGCATGTGATGCATACATTGCATGTTTGTTTACACATTTAAACACATGTTGTATATTGGAATCTCTTGAAGTGTAGAGACATTCAGTGGAATTTATGGTTTACCATTTGATGCTTGGCAGAACCAATGTCAATGTATATTACAGCAAGTCTCAGAAGTATTGGGGCAGCCAATTTGCAAACTCGCTAGCGAATTGGCTAACTGATTGGGTTTTGACTAAACAGTTTGCTTTCGAATCTTGCTGGCGCCGACTCGTGGCCGTGTCCACTCTGGGCGAGTCTATATTGCATTAGGGAACATAGTATGCTTTTACGTAACCTCAGTGGTACATGTCTGGATTCTCCTGAATGATTTGCTATGCGAAGCGTGATAATGTGAAAGTAGTTTCCCTGGTCAGCCAAAGAATGGCCACAGTCAGCTGGCGTACAAGTGATAATATGATAAATGCAATTAATCCACTGCTATATATGGGGGCCATTTTGAACACTGATTGAAACTAAATAAAGGGACAAGTTGAGAAACAGTTGCCTACAAATCAGGGAGAAAATAAATGTTCACATCCAAAGGATTTGTTGGGGTAACATTAAACCAACCGCTCATAAAATCCGACTTCATTCATCGTTTTTGCGTGGACAATCCCTTGTATATGAACACTTCATTACACGAAGAATATTTGAAAGCGAATCGCCATCCAACTAAAGTATGACAACCCCTACTGTTATATAGATTCACCCAGAGTGGCCGTGACCACAGGATGTTGCCAGCGAGATTTAAAAGCCAACCGTTCAGGCAAAACCCAATCAGTTAGCCAATTCGCTAACAAGTTTGCAAAATGGCTGCCCCAATACTTCTGAGACTTGTGTCTCATATGTGTGTTTCATAAAGCATATTTCAAGTGTGACTACATGCATTCCTTACAGTAGGTTGCACTTGTTTAGGATTTACATACATGCAAATGCGCAGTGACTAGTTAGCAAGAACCTGTTAGTTGCATCCAAAGATAAAATAATGGTGATGCTCACTGCTGTGATAATTAAATATACATGAAAATGTCCTTGTTAATACAACAATTCAGTGGCAATTATGTCACAGCTTATTGCAAGCTAGTAGTGCTAGCAATTCACTGAGCAGAAGTTTTCTATCAGATATTCACATGCTGGCAAAAAACAAAACAAATGATGTCAAAGTGGAACAGTCTATTACAAAACCCTTTCTTCATAGAAGAACCTTACAGTGACTATCATTACCCATTAATATTATGTGATTTTGTTTAAAAGCTACCATTTTGACTGCACATGGTCATGACGAGCACCGTCCTTCACTTAGTCTTGAGATTAGTCCTACAGCAAGATGTACCTCCCTTGAAAGGATCTTACTGATTGAATAGCAAATTCAGATACTCACCTTAAATCAGCAAAGACTATGACATGTTCACAGTCACCCTGATGGCAGTACACATAAGGCTTACCAATTTTGATATCTATGTCATTAAACGTGCATTCTTCCATCTTCTTGATGGAATACTTTGGTCCAGAAAAACCTCTATCATTAAGCCAATCTCTAATTGGTCTGAAGGCAGTAGGGCAAAAAAAAAACAGCAAATAAGGAGAAATGGGAATTAAATCATACTATGTCTTATACAGTTAATAAGAACACTAATTTCCTGTTTCTGCTTGTCTGGGTATGCTGGATCAATCACTCTTATCAATTCACAAGCGTTTTTTTCAAAAAGGCAAACTAATAGCCTAAGGCTATAGAATTCATTTTCCGTGTACATGAATTAAAAAAATAATTTGTAGTTGATTCAATAAATATGATAGGACATAACATTTGCCAGGATCTAGCATCAGAATTTCATGCACATATTGACAGTGTCGTTTCAAGGGAGCTTTGTAGAAAGAACACTAATCTGCCAAAAAATAACACTGACATTTAAGTTACGCACAAGATGTGCATGCAAAAAATTACTCTAGACTTGTTTTCCCAAAAAATATATATAATGCAATCATTGTTACATGTTGATGCAATCAGAAATTCTGATTTATGAAACTGAGAGATTTGTTGATCTGACGAGCTTGTACTGACACAGCCGAGGAGCTATTCAATCAAAGATGTGAATTAACACATGGGGACACTTATGAGGTTCATATATGGTAGCGATAACTTTCAACCTTTCAACAACATGGCAACAAATTAATTCATGCTAAGAGTTGTCACGAGTTGAAATGATTTAATTTCACTTTTTTGTTGAAATTATCAATAGGAAGTCATATTTTGAAATAGACAATAATGATTTCCATGAACACTTAGTTGTTTTTTACAGTAAGGTTACCACATTAAGCACACTAATGGGAAATACAGTTTGATAAACAAATATCAAGACACAAAATAAATTTTCTCAAACCAAATAAACAAAACAGACAAAAAGATGATTTGCCGCAACATGATATTTGACAGGTCGTTGACCCTGGATGACATCATTTGCATACTGTGCTGTCATCAAAAAAAAGAATCACTTTTTCACAGCCTGATACAAGTTTCAAAATGCACTATAGTATATATGAAAACAAATTTCTGGTCAAAAGCTGGCCAGACACGTGATCCGCAGTATTCTGCAAACTTTATTACAAAAAACAGAAAAAAAATGCATACTTACTCCGATAAGTCTGTACAAGTCTCATCTCTCATATCATTATAAAAAACATTCTCAATGAAGAAAAAGGATGACTTAAAGACATCTTTTGCTCGGTTATCTTGGGCTAACATTGGCGTCTCACTAAATTCACCCGCCACAGAAAGATCAGATACACATAATATTTTATCACGTAGTTCTGTCAAATACTGGGGTCCAAGCACAAGAATTTCAGTGTTTATAACTACCTACAAACAAATCAAGTGTGAATAAAGATTCTTGGTCTAGTGCCGTCTCGCTACGCCCAAATAAGGATAGGAAAAAGATAATGAGATACTATGACATAATCAGAGCTTACCCATTCAAAGTCAAATTTTATCACTTTTCACAAAATAAACCTAAATAATATTTTACATTCTTCTTCAAGATACCACCTGATAATGAGATATTATATCTATTTTATTCAAATTTAAGATAGAAATATAGAAAAAATACACAAAAAATTGTAAAATGTTGCATAAACATTTTGGTGGTAAAAAAACTGTTTTGTGAAAAGATAAACAGTTGATCAAAGATATTGCACCACAGCCTACAATTGATCTAGATAAATTCATTATGGACATAATTTCCTGCTGATTACAGATCTTTTTCTAAATTATTAAAATAATCTGGTGAAAATATTTTGCATTCAAAAATTAAATGTTTAAATACACATATATGAGGTTACCATGACAATACTGGAAAGTATATGCACAAAAGCAGTACAGTGATTGTATTTACAGATTGTGATTCCATACTGCCTCAATGAATAATCTGCGGTATTCTCTTAATTACCTTTTCTGGCTTCCCGTAATATATTACTATACACGTCCAACTTAGTGACTCAGGATACTCAACTCTAGGATCATGTTTTTAGCTACATATACAATGCATGTAAAATACATTGTTTGTTTACATAAAAATCAAACACACGCTTCGCGGTGATGTCCGCCCTTTAATTATTTATGTGTGAAGCCACTTTATCTAATCAACATTTTTACCAATGTTGTCAATTGATTTTCTCTTTTAGGATAATTCATAAACAACATTTTTCATTCCTATTTTTGTTTTGTACCAATATTATATATCTACAAGAAGAAATTAAATGACTAAACAGGTAAACATATTGCCTAAGTAAGTGAGTAATTAATTAATAAATGTAAAGCAATACTTACCCTAGAATTCTTAATGACAGGATGAAATGTGACAAGGGAAAGTACCGCCTCTGGCTGTTTCAGTATACTCTGCTCATCAGGTATGTTGGACATGTGTTGATGTTCCTAAAATACGTTATAAGACAACTTGTGTGAGAAATGTCGATGACATCTGTGATCTATTCAATAATTTTTCAAAAGTTATATTCATTTTGAATAAATTAGGATATTTTAGAACTAGCAGCCTGTCGGCTGAGATAGCTCTGCTGTTCTCAATGCACATTTCAATTAAATAACTGAAGATATCATCAGAAAATGAACAATATGTATAGTATTAAAGCAATCAGACTTGCTGTTTTCAACAAAAATTCAAAAATATAACTTTTTATCAAAAATATTCATTAAAATTAGATAATTGAAGAAGAAAATCATCACGAAATGAACAAATCTGAGAGAGGTCTACCTGTAGTACCTATGTAGTATATATAATATCAAAGCAATTGGACTTTCGGTTTTTAACAAAAAGTCGAAAATATCACTTTTTACCAAAAATTACAAAAATATTCATAAACATTAGAGAATTGAAGATATCATCACGAAATGAACAAATCTGAGAGAGGTCCTCATGTAGTGCCTATATATGTAATATCAAAGCAATTGGACTTGCGATTTTTAACAAGAAGTTGAAAATATCACTTTTTACCAAAAATGACAAAAATATTCTCGAAAATTAAGGAATTAAAGATATCATCACGAAACGAACAAATCTGAGAGAGGTCCATCCAAGGTACCTTCCTAGAAAGTTTCACAGCTATACAGTTTGTGGTTTTTAAGAAGAAGTCGATAATGTAAAGTTGACGATGTTGACAGCGGAGCTAAAAACACATCAAAATGTGCAAAAAATTGCACAAGGAAAATTCATAAGCTTCTTACTAAATCCCAGCTATAAGGGTTGTATTTCCTTTGTATTCTGGATCTCCTCTCCAACATGTGTTTTCGTGATCTGCGATAGAAAGAAAGAAACATGTATCAAGTCATCAAGCAGTTATGAAAAGTACTATCCCAAGCTAGAAGGTCACCTTACACTGTTATGAGGCCAGTGAGTACTCGGACAAAATTAGAGACCCACAAGAACCTCTCTCTCAATTAAAACAGTCTCACTTCTAATTCAGACCAGGGCTTATATTCATAATAGATAATTGACACTGAATCAAGTATCACACAAACTTCACCTCCAAATAAGTAAGTGTTGATGTTACAATCTTTATTTGGAAATGTCTCATCCTTTAAGGCAAAGGGTTGATGCAATATACCATAAAATTATTGCTAGATATCAATACAATTTAGGTATTATATGTAAATGTGTATGAAAGTAAATAAAAACAAAAGGACATGAAATGTGGATTATAGGCTGAAAGTCACACAAGAAATTACACAATACTAACACAAGTGACAAGTAGCATGCTTGTATACTAGTTTTAGCTCAGATTGTTTCTTTCTTTCTAATGTTATGTACCTCTACTTCCAAGCACGTTCTCACAATTTATTACACTGACAACATGCCAATTATGTGTGAAAATACATTCAAAATTACATATAAATGTTTTCTGTTCAATCATTTGTTATTTTATCTTTTTTTATCTTATCCAACTTTGTGGTATTTGTGTGAGACAATTCTTATTTGATTTTCCAATGTTCAAAACAAATTTTCATACATGCACTTCTTTTTCTGAATTTTTTCTGCGCAACGTCGACATGACAATGAAGTAATGTGTTTTGAGGCTAATTTATGGCTTATGGGAATTTTAAAAATAAATTTATATACAAAACTATAAAGAATGGTGTCATTCTGTTTCAATTATATTATTTAGTCAGTGTTCTTGGTCAGGTTTTCAGCTGGGCAGTCCAATTTTACAGCAGTCCTGTGACTGTCAATACCCACCCACCAACGTGTACATCTGTCAGCTGAGCAGTTACCATGTCATTGTAGAATAGTTGCCCAATTGTGTGCATTTTCTTATCATAAATTCTTTTAAGAATGTAAATCACTGGACTTGTAATAGAGAATGTTGATAATAACAATGATTTCTCATTCATCAGGATCATCAGGTCACTGTGGCCCTGATTATTTTAAGGCAACATGCAAACTGAAAATAAATGTCTTGTTTTAATAAAATGACATTGATTGTCTTTGACAAAATATTTTACTTATTAATTGAGTCGCATTTAATAAATTTCTGGAAAGTTGGCAATCACCAGGAATGAATATTAAAATCAACTCTCTGGATGTATATGTGTAACCAAGGAAAGGTTTTAAATCATGTTTCTATGTAGGCACAACTAAAAACCCTGAAAAACACCCTTCAATAGCTTCCAGCAATAACTTAGTAGTGTTTTCAAGTGGTCTATTTGCTTTTGCATGTTAATGCACTAATATTACATATGGTTGTTACTGCACATTTTTATTTCCAAGGATTGTAACTAGGCGTGATATTAACCTTCCTCACAGCCATTTCCAATCAAATCATGGGTTACCAACATAAAACAAGTAGTTCAGCAAAATAGTTGTATTGACACGAGCGAAGAACACATGCAAAAATATGAATATACTTGTGGGTTTGCATATCACAGCATTTCAATGGGATCATAATTTGAGCATATTGTGGTAGTTGCAAGCTACCTACCTTTATCTACCTTTGGAATATTTGTGTACAGTATAAGTAATGAATAATAGGGAGCACAATAAGTTATGACAAGGTGTGCTAAGTTCTATAGATAACATGGGGAGCGCCATTTTGTTGTTTCACAAATTATGCAATGCGAGAAAGCTCATCAATGATAAAATATCTTCAGAATGTTATTCAAGGATAAAACAAACTGAAAATAGTTAAATTTTGAATAGTGTTTTGAGTCATTTTGAACAGTGGTGAAATACAAATCGTGCGTGGTGGCATCGGCTGAGCTCGCTCACTCACCAGGAACTGCCTGCTACATGTACATATTACTTACACTAGTGTGTACAATCCCTCCCCACCTTCCGGTATATTTTCCGTGATATTGACCATCTTGATTGGTACAACCAGTTTGTCTTCACTGGCGCAATACAGAGAGTCCAGGCTGAGAAGAATGAAAAATAATAATAATTATTTATTCAAGCAGTTTACAAATTAGACCTTCAAATGTTTTCAGATTGCAATCATAAACTCACTAAACCAAGGACGTAAAAGACGTAAATGAGTTATTTTTACCTCCATACACGTACTAACAAGATTGCAGCGTCCACTCCCCTTTATTTAATTTTTTTTTATTTATTAATTAACTCATAACAAGCTACTGGAGGAGGTTAAAGGTTTCAAAAAAAAATTACAAATAAAAATTAATCAAATTACAATGGCTAAGAGTTTAAAGAACAACCAAAAGCAGACTAAATAGAATTAGTAACGGAAAATAAAAAAACACTCTACCCCACCTGAGGGTTATACTGTAAATGTATTAACTATTCACTGCTTTTCAATTTCCCTATTTTCGTTGTTAAGTAAAAATTCTTAAAATTCAATTCATGTGAACATGAAAAATGACAATACAACTCATTGTTTCCCTGACAAATTCGTGAACTTAAAGCGGGAGAGTCATTACCTGTGCATGCGTCAGATGGCCATAGCGTGACATTGTTTACAAACAAGCGTCTACCCATAAGCCTTTGGGTTATTGGAGTGTGTTGTTAACATCACTTGGGACTCAATTCCAGCGCGTGCGCAGGTGACGACCCTCCCGCTTTAAAACTCAGCGAAATCAAAAGGGCGCCACACATGCACAGGATATCGATGTCATATAAACAACCATGACTGTAGCGCACACCAGCTAATACAAACTGAGAGGTTACCAAGCTTTAATTAAGTACTTTGTTTTGGTGTTTGGAAGGTATCAAAGGAGTCACCGTCGGTAATTAGTGTAAGTGGCGCCCAGGGCAAAACTCTTACTCATGACTTCATTAGAAAAGCGTATTGGATTGTGGGAAAATCATTGTTTATCAACACAAATGTCGCACATGCACGGCGCGACGACTACCGCTCTTTAAAATCAAATTAGTGAAATTAATGTCAGTGAAAATATATGGTTTTACAGTTGCCAGAAAATGGAGAAAAAAAAAATGCCTACAAAAAATTGAAATGATACAACTTTAAAGCAGAGGGATCGTCACCTGCGCACGCGCGGGAATTGAGTCCCAGGCGACGATAACAACACATGCTAAAAACGCAAAGGCTGATGGGTAGACACTTGTTTGTATTATTTATTTTTTTATTTATTTATTTACTTATTGACTCTTACACAATCCCCGGAGGGAAAGAAAATGGTCACAAAGTACAAGGAGAAATATATATACAAAAAAAACAAAACAAAAACACAATATACTAAATAACAAATACAATCACTAAATTACTAAAAAATACAAAATCTCTAAAATACAATCTAATATAAAATTACAAAATTGACAGCAGGCATTAAGATGCCAAGTAAGACCCTGCTTCCTGACTTCAAAGCTTTTACTTATGAACTGTGCTACTGGAATAATAATGTTTTCATTCTGTAACAATTCCATGAATTTTTTCTCTGCAGGTTTATTTTCAAATGCTGGGATCATATCCTTAGCTTTATTGAACAGTTTGGCACGCAACTCATTATATTTGTTGCATTCCAGCAGAAAATGCATTTCATCCTCAATTAGACCTTTGTTACACATGTCACAAACCCTGTTGTTTAGTGGGATTTTTTTATGACGACCCATTTCAATTTTGAGACTATGGTCACTAAGACGAAATTTGGTAAGCACACTACGCAGTTCAAAGTTTTTTAGCTTGACTAAATATGGCTCAAGTTTTAAATCTGATTTGATTAGCCGATATGTTCTTAGTTTGTTTTTCTCATTGCTTTGGTGCGGTTAT